CCAACATGTTCAGTAATCCTGAGACACAATCAATATCTGTAGCATATTCGTCAACTAAAATGGAACCGAGGTATAGGAAGCTACTATGTTGATGCGTGGCATATAATTGTACAATCTGTAAATATAAAATCAAAATGATTTTTTTATAATACAAGTTTCATGTAAAGTATAATAGAATTAGTATAATTATGTTTACCTGTTCGACGAGTGGTTTAAGAAGATGTGCCAATTGTTTACCTACACATCTAACAGCGAACCTTAAACAACGACAAACTCGTTCCATGAGCCTTGGATCATGTTGATATTGTGTACATACATTTGACAATACTGGCCACATCTGTAAATATAGAGATTAATAATCGATATAAACTTCAATCTTTTATAATATAGAAATGTAATGATATTAATGACTTACTTCAATAATAACCATCCGACATGGATGCGGTGCATTTTCATCCTCGACGTGAGGATTGGTGTACCTAAATATTACTGATAATCTATCTAACCATATTGCAGGATCAGTCTTAGTTCCCTTCTCAATCGGTACTTTACTTTGCATAAGCTGGCAAAGAGGCATAGCTTGAAACCAGCATAACTCTTTCATTGCTGGTTCTATTTCTGCTTTTGGTAATATTGCCAGAATCCAGGACACGCCTGTAAATCATTGCAGCATTATATTATATTATACTATTATTATAATTATTTTAAATATATATATATAAAATTATTGTAATAAAAAATATAGAGAAAGATTATCACACATACCTTTCAATAAGTTGATAGAAGCTTCAACGCTTAAATTAAAATTATCAAGGGATCGTGCTATTTGTAATAATACATTAAAATGGGGTGCCATGCGATTCGAGCATACAGTGCAAATACTTAAAAGAGCGTTCGCCGCTGCATTTCCTAATCCCTTTTGATTTAAACAGGTCAACAAAGTATTTAATATTGGTTCTGTAACAATATTATTTTAATTATAATATGCAAGAAGATAATATGAAATAAATGTTAATAATTCATTAACGTCAGGTTACATATATACGTAATGCGTGTTTTTTTTTATACTAGGGACCGGATGACAAGAAAATACATAAATTAGATTTTTATATATTTAACTTAAATATAAATAGCAATCACATTAATTTGAAAAAAGCTTTTATAATTGTATTATCAAAAAAATATACATTATAATATGATAAAGTAATATACTACATTATCCATTATTATATACATAGTATTAATGTGAATGATACATACCCAACGATGGGGGATGATCATCTATCCATTCGCATAATTCTCCTAACAAAACTATACTTATATGTCGTACAGCAATGTGAGTATTTTCTGGTAAATTAAGAATTGCTTCAACTACTTTTGGAACTATGTCGCTTTCCTCTCTGTATCATTTGATAATTTGTCATTAATACAAATATTTTTCAATATTTCAATATATAATTATTCTAATATTATATATATATTAATATAAATTTCATAACTCACGGTAGAATATTTTTAGCGACTGCTTGCATTATAAAAAGTGCAGCCTCTACTGTATCCCATGTAGGAGCAGGGACAGGTAATCCTTGAGGACCTGGACCACCCGTTAATGAAGTAAACATTTGTCGGAAACAATTACTGCTGCCAACTACAAATACTACATCTTTAACGAGTTCTGAGGCACGTTTGCGAAAATCAGCAAATTCTTCGCCTCCACCACCTTCTTCTACTAAACCGAGCTATAATAAATTAATGATTAAATTGATTATATCACATATATTAAATGAATTTCATTATGGTTTAATAATCTAGTCTATTTAAACAAGGATACATAAATTTGAAATAATCAAAAATATTATATAATACATTGAAAAGGATTTTATAAAACTCACATGATCCGGTTCCATTTGACAATGTCTACAAAGTGCAGCGATTAATCGTTGAAACTGTGGTCTAAATACAATATTTAGATCTTCACTATTCCTTTGATAAATAGCTTCTGATAATCGATACCAAAGATGGAAAGTTATTTGCGCAACCTAAATAATATAACAACAAATTGTAATAAATAATTGATACAAATATCGATCTTTAAATATATAAATTAATAACTAACTTCGAAATCGTGATGTCCAAGACACATTAGAACAAGATCAAGAATTTGAATAGCATAATGTTGTTTCCCGTCCATACTACCTTCTATAATAGTGTCGATAAACGTTTCAGCCAATTCCGTAAAAATGCGACAATAATTGATAGACCTGGTATAATAAAAATATTAAATATATATTAATTCCAATAATAAAATATAATTATAATTAAATATTTACTTTTCCATATCTTCATGAACTACAGATAAATGATATGGTTGTTCTAAATCCATGACATTAGTAAAAAGACACATTTGTAATTGTTGATATTGTTGAGCGCTTAAATCGCAATTGTTATCTCGATTGATAGTATCGTCATCTTGTAATGCTTGTAAAATAACACACAAACAATCCGCAGCGGATTCGTGTAATAGAGAGCCAGCCGTATGATCACCCAATACCTAAAATAATAAATATACTTATATATGTTATATATAGAAAATTAAATCTCAAATACCCTGCTGATATTATAAATACTAACTTGGAATACATATGCTACTATATCACTCGTGGGTATAACTCGAAGAGGTATAGCACCAGCAGTAATCCAACTGGTGAAGCATCGAAAGATAGTAACTCGTACTAATACGTTATCACTACCATCTTTTAAACACATTTTCTGAAATATTGTAAGTATAATAATTATACTTATTTGTATTTTAATACTTTGACATTTGGTATTTGTTAATACATTAATAAAATAATTACCAAGAATTCAGCAACTGTATCAGCGGTTGCTTTGAGTTCAACCATTACCTGATCTCGTCTGCTAGTCCCTAATCTATGTTACATATAAGTAGAATTAATAAGAGGATATCAAATTATTTGTATAATACTATTAAAAACAATTTTTGTTATACCTAAGCGATCGGGATTTAACTTCTTCTGGAAGTACAGTCAAAATCTCGAGTAATGGCCAAAGACTGCTACTTCTTCCGCCGTATCTATTAATTAAATCTACAACGGGTTTATGCCATGATACCATTTGTATTGTAAGAGCAGCCATTGCTAAGCATAACTGTAAATAATAAAATATTAAAAATTAAATTGAGATACACATAACACAAAAGAATAATAGTTAAATAAACAAAAGATATTTAAATAATAAATATATAAAAATAACTAACCTGTGTAACAATGGCAGTATTGGTGTTCTCATTAATTTGCGATATGTGGTCCAGCAATGAATCACGCAATGAAGTATGAGCTTCGGCAGGTAATTCATGAAACGATTGCTGGATTTTTGTACGCATTGTTTGTGCAGCAAAATAACAAGACTCAATGTCTCGCTTTTGCTGCAACATTTCATCAGCTATTTTCCATGCGTAGACCTAAAAACAATCAAACAATAAGTATCTTATTTAACATGTACCTAATTTCAATATACATATAAATATAGAGCAAGGATAATTAGTTAACAAACTAATCGAACAACAGAAAAGAAGAAAAAGGAATGCTGCATGTAAGTTCATGATCAGTTTGTGCAGCAAACTTTGTCTTTGATTGGATTATGTTTGTTAATTAAACACCTACTCTAAATAAATTTAATTTTTACATTAAAAAATAAATAGAAATTATATACAGAGTTATGATACAATCGTTAGTTACGAATATAACGATCTTATTTTATTAAAATATACAAAGATGGTATCAAAACGATAGGTTAAAAAGTACAATTAAAAACATGTTTTTTAGTAGCTGCAATGGTTCACGTTGATGTTAATGGTATAGAAATATTGGATGTAACAAAAATAATAATATAAATCTAAATATTAATACTACATTAATTATCAACGATATATATTGTTAATCATTTATTAAAATTATTATAAATAGGACGATATTGTAATTAATAAATAAACTTACTGATTTTTGTAGTTCTTCAAGCCATGATGATGCTTTACTTGAATCGGATGGATTGGAATTATTGTACAAGGAATAAACAGCTTGATAGACAGTTTCTAATGCAGGTGCAGAATCCATAGTTCGATGAATTTAATTATCTCCGACAAATCTCCATACAGTTGTTCAAATTCCTTGTAACAACACAACTATTTCGTCTTTCTCGATGATGCTAATGGTGGTGATGATATATCCAACCTGTACAAGCCGCGAAAAATCCTACGTTCGCATTGTCGGTACGTACATTACGACGAGAACGTACATTTTCCTAACATTTTCTGTTTTATCGACTAACTGAAAGAAGATTTCGGAGATTAAACGAATTGAACACAAGGTGCGAGGGGATGTGGTAATAACCGGCAGTCCATAATTTTAACACATATTTTTTCCTTCCCTTTCTATATCCTTTTTTAAGTTACAAACAATTTTATTCCCCTGTATTTCAAAATGTATTATTGTTATTATGAATTATTATTGAATATCCTTGATCTCCATGGTCACGGATAGTCGAGGGACCCAGAAAAATTTCAAGCAGCACGATTAATACTTAGAAAGTAACTGCACGTTCAATCTTTTTTTTCGAAATATCGACAATGTCACGATATCGAAAACACAGTTGCCAACCTTTCTATCAACGCCATCTTGATCGACTCTATTATCTTTATCTTTTATTTTCAAAACAAATTATATCAATGATTTAACACGAAATAATATAATTAACGATTTATCCTTTAGCACTGACTAACATACGAACTGAATTCATTAAATAAAAAACATTCGAGAAACATTTAATTTAAGATAGTAAAACACTTTTGATTAATTAACGATACTAGCGCCAATCGGTAAAGAAGAACAACTCCATTTTATTTCTAGAAAGGTCAGTCGTCTTCCGGTAGATGTGACCAATGATCAATTAGAACAAAGCATTTTGGTCACATGACCCGGACGTTTCATAATGTTCCGTCGTTAACGTAACAACGCTGACTGCTGCAACTAACGCGCGTTTCATGAGTATTATAGTATAGTTCATCGTTGGTCGTTGTTATTTCGGTGACGTCCCTAGAACTAATTTCTTAACAATCTGTTATTATATATTTAATTAGAAATAAATCTTAAATGCGTTATGTGTATACTTGATTTAACAACAACAACAAAAAAACAAAGAACGAAAAGAAAAGTTAGAAAATTCTCATAAAAAAATTGTGTGCTGATAACAAAAAAATTGATTAATAATAATAATAATTAGAAGAAGAAGAATAAAACTATTTAGAACATTTAGAAACGTGTGATAGACACACCAAAGTGCATCGATTAATCCTCCTTATGATTATTGGAAAGTTGAAAAATAATTTTCGTAATAATGACAAGTGCAATCTAATCAAATAATATACATGTATATACAGAAATACGTGAATGTATTATTTGTAAGGATTAAATTATTGTTAAACTATACTTGAATAGTTAGTTTTCAATGCGCGGTAAAAAAGAAAGAAAGAAAGAAAGAAAAAACATCCAACCAAGTGTACGAGTGCATAGAAAGTGAAAGTTTTTCTACTTCTATTCGATTGGATTAACTAAAAACTATATTTTAGTTTCTGATCGTTGTAAGTGAACGTTTTTCTAGAAAATAAAAGTACACGAAATATATGGACTGCTTTTTTTCGGTTGCTACGAAACGATTGTCAAACTTTTTAAATATGTCCTCCTAGTGTGTATGTGTCTCTGTAGATATAAAAAAAAAAGAAAAGAAAGATAATTGGACTTTATCGATATAGAGAGTAAGTAAAGTTTGAGTTTTTCTTACGCTGTTCTTTTTTTTTTTTTTTAACGAACGATAGATAAGATTAATCTGTGTGAATGTGCGTGTGTGCGTGTGTGTTAATAAGTAACTATAAACGTGTGAAAACATATTTTATAAGATTAATAGGAAAGAAAAGAGGTAAAACACAATTTTGACTATTTTTATATCTGAAAATGAAATATTTCAATGAAAAGAATATTTTTCGATAAATTAATAATTATCGATTAAATATATATACACACACACACAATGAACTTTTCTTAATCGTTCGCGATTTAGGGTTCGTGAGATTTTTCCTAAATAAAATATGGCTGAATAAGTACCCAGAATTATTCGACCAATCAGAATCGTTTGTTTCGCGAGGGACACCACGTATATTGTTCAAAAGTCAACAACAAAAACTGCAATCTTACTTTCATTCTTTTTTTCAATTGTATTTATCAAATCGAAGAATGATGTAACTTGCTTTTTTTTGTTTCCTCAGTTGAGGGAAACGCGAACGGTGCATAATACTGCAGTACAAAGTTCTCGAAATAGAACCGAGAATGATCGATTTCTTCCTTCCAACCCCCTCCTCACCCCTCTTACCGCTTCTTCTCTTCTATTCACGATGACGTTCAATAAATTTCTTTTTCATCCCTCCCCCTCTCCGCCCCCGACCCCCTTTTTATCGATGTAGTCATTTGCTGCATCGATTGCAATTTTTCTTATTTTTCGAATATAAACATTAAAATATTACGTAATTTATCGATTACCTAATGTGTACATTCCTTCGAAGTATTATAATTATTTTTTTCAAATGTAATTCCCGTTAACTATAATAATTATTATGTTTTTACTCGAGTAGGGAGTACAATTTTCTACCTTACCGACAGATGTTTACATTAAAAAATTGGGGATTTTGTAGCTATAAGTTAAACAAAAAAAAAATCTTTGTAATAATTTATCCTCGTATATATATTTAGCACGTTGTCTGCCACCACATTAGTTTCACGTGTTTTTCCATATTGCCTAGAAATTCTGAAATTAGATATGAAGTAATATCAGTAACGCCGGTCATAGTTGACCCACGTGGCCCCCTTTGAAAGAACAAACGCCCGGACAGTGACCCAAATGAGCGGTCAATGCATTAATTATACATTTATATCTACAATCTATACTAGTTTCACTTTTTACATTGAACGAAAATACAAAAAAATAATATTAATGAGAACCTCTCCCGTTAATTACAAGAAAATTACGTTCAAAGAACCGAGTACAATGTGGGGGGGGGGGCAGGCGCCCCCATTCTATTCTTATTCTATTCATATTCTTCATATATTGTTGCAAAAAACGATCTCTTTCTAATCTCACGTGATTATTCGCCTTGTGAACGTATTTAATTAATGGTTAACAAAAAAGAAAAAAGAAAAGAATAAAAAAACCACCCGTGTATGCGTTCGCATTTTCTATATTTTTCTTTTTTTTCTTTCTTTATTTCCGAACTGCATCACGATTTCAGCCTTGTAACTTAATTAACGTTCAACAAGTTTAACAAGCCTGTTGGCAGACGCGCTTTTGCACTCGCACACACAATCAGTATAAAAATATATGTGTATGATACCTTCTATGCAATTTATAAGGAAGTCTTAAGCGTTAAAATCGACGATTCTTTATTCCCCTTTTATTATTCGTTCCCCCTTTTTGAATTTCTACACGGTACGTTTAATCGACTAATAGAAGCTACATTTTAAAAAAAAAAAAAAGGGAAATAAAAAAACTAGCGTAGTCAGCGAAACGCGTTCAAAGTCAAGATACCGCTTGAAAATACATAGTTACGCTTTGATAAGCACGGTCATTTATTTTTCTTTTTTTTATTCTATTTCTCTCTCTTTTTTTATTTTTTATTTTATTTCTCATTACGAAACACGAGTAAGATAAAAGAAAAAAAAAGGAAGAAATACGAAGAGGAAGCGAAAACAAAATAATAAACATTTTATGCATCCTTCTATTTAAGAGGCAACTTTCTAAAAAGAAATATTAAATAGAGAAACGAATGCATTATTTTTCACTTTCTTTTCTTTTTGTCTTTTTCAATTAAATTTCAATACAGGTTGAATCAAAAGTTATTAAATAATAATTTAACACGTTAATGATGATTACTACGAGGCAAGTTTTACAGTTTTTTCTTTTCCCCCCCATAGAGGCTACAATTCAGATAACTCACGTGATTCCTACGTTGAAGGAATAATAAATGTCGGTCGCAACAAGTTGAAAAATAATTTACAAAACTTTAAAGTTCATTCCCCTCCCCTTACCAGTATATTCTAATTAAATTTTTGTTTTCTAATATTTGTAACAAGGCCGTATATTCGTTAGAACATAAAAGGCCCCGGGCAAGTCATCGTTGGCAATTGGTTGGCACGTCGTTGGTTTTTAAATGCATTGATAAATTTTATTTATCTTTTATACGTAACGGAATTGCAGTATATAATGTATAACAATTTTTATTTTATAGATTCTTTTTTCATTTGTATCCTTCATTTGATCAAGATATTTACCACAAAAATATTATATTATCCTATTCGGTGAAAGGAAATTCTCTTGCGGTGAATGGTCATGCGTGTAACGTTTCGATATCCGATTTCTATTTATCTATCTATTTATCTATTTATTTATCTATATATATATTTAAATTGAAAAGAGAAAGTATAAATGTATCTCTAAATTGTTATACACACACACACCACCTATACAAAATCTAGAAACAGTAATCCAATATCTTGCCAACACAGCTTTCCTGTCGACTTGAACGTTCTATTAAAAAACTGAGAAAACAAATGCGAGCTCCGACTTAAAATCTTTCAACAAGAAAAATCCAGAGAGAGAGAGAGAGAGATTGTAACGACTTTTCAAACTAAATAACGGGATTCATTAAATATTAATATTTGAATTGAATCTAAAATAATTATCTTTCTATATTAAATACGCATATATATACATAATAATTAATACCTACACCCACATGTATATAATACACGAATTGTTCTAATCATTTTTAAACGAATTTAGAAAGAATAATATTATTCTTTTTTTCTTTCTCAATATTTCAAACAAATATTATCTAATAATCAACTTCTCTTGTTTATTTTAGATAAGAATAAACAATAGGTGGTGGTGGTGGTGGTATCGATTAATAAAATAAAGAAGAAGAAGAAGAATGAGTTGGACAAAAAGGATGGCTCGTCATGGTAGTGAAAAATCCCTTCATACTTTGCATTCAATGCATCCTACTCGTGCTACGATTATTCACAACAATAACAACAACAGCAGCAGTAGCAACAATAGTAGCAATAACAATAAGAACAATAACGATGATGGTTCAACGAGAATGAATTCTAGTAACATAGTTAGCCCAAATAAAACTGTTAACAACAACAGTAGTAGTAGTAGTCCTAGTCCTCCTGAGATGGATATCTTATTGGATGATCGAAATGATAGTTTTTCTCCGATATTATCAAGTACTATAAATTCATCTAGCAATAACAGCATAGTTTTTGGTTCCTCTTCGTTGGGTTTAGACTCACGTATACCCAGACCATCATCTAATAACGTTCTGCGCCGTTCCTCGAGCATGCGCATCCGTGGTGAACGGCTTCCAACACACCATTCTCGACCCACTACTACTTTTACTACTACTACCACCCCTGCATCATCATCCTCCTCCTCCTCTTCAAATCTTCTTGGCCAACATCACCAACACCATCACTATCGTCGTCACAACCATCTATTGCTACAGCACCAGCAGCAGCAGTACCACCAACATCCTGATCATCGTATCTTTCCTGTCATCACGGAGAATGGAACCGACTCGCCAAGACAGCGATCACTTGTAAGTTGTTATATCTCTTCATCATTTTCTTCTTTTTTCTTTTGGTTTAATTGTTTTGTATATACCAAGATTTGAATTATTTGACTTGAGCCTTGGGATGAGATATATAATCCCTTTTTGCGTTTTAATCATCACCTATGTATATCTACTTACAAACGAATGACTTTGAATTATTTTCTTTTCTTTATTATTAATATATTTTTTTTAATTAATAATAATAATTGAAATGTGTGTGTATACTTTACTTTTGTCTTTCCTCGGGTATTCTAATTCAATAAGTCTTCCTGTTATGTATTCAGAAACCTTATCAAGAGAATTGGTTGGTTTTTATTGGCCTAAACAATTCCTTCCTTCCTTCCTTTTTGTTTTAAGTATACTTCGTCCATCAAATATTTTCTCTCACCTGTATACATATATACATTTTGTATTTGGAGTTCAAAGGGTTAAGGACAAAACTAAACATCAATACTTGTTCAAAAAGAGAAAAAGAAAGGAAAGAAAAGAAAGAAAAAAGAAATAGAAAAAAAAGTAGAAAAATAAAAACATAAAACAACAAAAGTAAAGTAAACGTCTATATATATGTATGAGTTATCAAAATTTACCATACACGCATACAACAAACAAACAAACTAATTTCCCTTCGGGTTGATCTATAATTTCATATGTTCCTCGTCCTTGATAAGACTGAAACAAGTTAAAAATAATTTATTACAATTTTCTCACGTGAATAATAAAAAGAAACACGACGGTGGAACTAATTAGCATCTCAAATTATAGATTATTATAACTCGCGTGTGTTGCGAGATGAAAAAAAAAGAAAGAAGAGAAAAAAACAAGAGAATGTCATTATCCTGAGTAAAAGATGGTTCATTTTTTCTATCATAATGCATATATCATTTTTGATTACATGACTTATCACTGCATTTAGTCGTCCAACAGGTTGATATTTATAGACACGTAAAGATCGCATGTTTTCAATGTGAAACATGAACGTTTTAACGATACGGAATTATTACATTTTATCTTATCGGTTAAAAGAAAAATACAAAGAATGTAAAATTATTTCTGTTATTTAATGCCAACTCATTCACATAACAGATACAATTTTAATATATTTATTAATATATTAATATTAATATACACATTTGAACTCCCTGAAATGAATATTTCAATTTTGTTATTAACAGCTTTTATATAATAATTTGAAATTATTTGAAATTTTGACCCCTTAACTGAAAAAAATAAAAGATAAAAAATAATTTAATAATTCAATTTGATAAGAGTGAAAATGTCGAGTCATACTCGACATTAAAGTTAGTATAAGATATATATGATGTCGAGTCATACTCGACATATAAAAGCGCAAAATATATATTAATATTAATTTTTAATATATAATATACATATATGCATACACAGAGAAATATACAGAAATATATTATATGAAAAGATTAGTATTATCATCGTGCCAAGAAAATAATACGCAAGATCCAATTAAACTTGGCTAACAACGGTGCGTATAGAATATTTATCGATCTTATCATTGTGTTATCTTTGTCCATGAAATTCTTATATTTCTTAATCCATTTTCATGCGTAGAAAGATGATATACATATATAATTGTTCAATTAAAAGAGAGAAACACGCACACAATATTAACAAAATGAATTATTCATTTATTCGTTTAAAATAATAATAAAATTACTTATCGAACAATCTAATATATATTTTTATATATAAATATGTTTGTGCATATAATGTATATTATTATTTGTGTGGATGTAATCGATAGGATTTTTCTATTATCGTGTTACAGTGATAAGACGGATTATTCAATATTACACTACGATTATTATATACATTTATCGATTAATTATTAAATTGATCAAATTAAAAACTAAGAAAAATAAGTTAATATCAATACGAATCGAATAATATAAACTATTTGTTGTTGTTTTTGAAACACACACTATTGTGTGTGATAATAAAAATATCTTCCATTTTTTATTTGTGTATGTATTTTCATTGAAATGTTCTGTTAAGATAAAGTGTCGGTTATTTATTAAATTGATGATTAAAATCAAAACTTTGGAAAAAAAAAAAACAAGTCAATTAAAACTAATAAATACGACGCGAATCACCTAATAAGTTAATTCATTTTCTTTTCATATTATCGTGCGATGATTAAAAAAAATATCATCATCCACATTCTTTTTCTATTTTATTTTGATATTTATTGAAACGTTTTTAGCAAGAAAAAAATCAAATGTCGGTTATAAATGTTTAAAAAAAATCCCGTTTCTTTTATTACTTTTCTAACTCTTAAACGAAAGATTTATTTTGAATGGCAAAAGAGGAACGATGTTGAATAGTTCGACGAAGAAAAATAAAAAGAAAGAAAGAGGAAGAAAGAAATGAAAGAGAAGGGGATTAGCAAGTAGTATAGTTTCTCTCCCACCTTTCTGAATTATCTATCACCTTAGAAAGAGTAAAAGGAAATGGAAAGAAATGAGGAAAAATAGAGAGAGGGTTGAAAAAGTTAGTAGTAGTAGAGTAATAGTAATAGTAGTAGTAGTAGTAGTAGCAGCAGCAGTGAAGGAAATACAGGGGAACCTACAAAGTGAAGAAACCTAGCTCCCTGACCTTTTCCTAACAGCGCGTCGGCGCAGATCACTTTTCTCGTACTAGAACGGATTCAACATCCTCCCCACCCACGGTTGAAATTTGTATTTAACAACAACAACAAATAATAACAAATATCTAACGTTATGATGTACATTTTCTTCTTACCATTAGTTTTATTTCTTTAAACAAATTTCATCATAAGTAAAACAACTCGTTTCGAGTATCTTGATTAAGTTCAGTCGAATTTTTCAAATAATAGATAATACGTATGGATTCACGGGATTGTAGAAATTCTCTTAGTTGTCCATCGGTTGGTAATATCTATAAATTTATAATAATAATTGTTAATTGAAAATATCGAAAATATAATAAGATTTGTAAAAATCTTTCAAATTTACCTGCCAAGTGTTTTTCGATTGAATTGAATTCATTTTGTTGTTGTTGTTGTTACAGAGCCTCTCACTGACGCCAGCTAGGCCGCGATCAGGACACGCGGCCTCAAGTACAACACCAGGAGCAGCAGCAGACGACAGTGATGCAGAAAGCGTGAGAAGTTACGGAAGTGCATGCAGCACCGCGAGTGCCTGCGATCATGCATCATTTGCTTTGAACGGTACTACTTGGTCTGGTCGATCACGAAAATACGTTGTCCATTGTTCCAATCATACTGGGGACAATGAACAGTATCTTACACCGACCCAAAGGGCCGCCAGACAAATCAGGAGATTCCAGGTAAGTACAATTTTCACTTTAAACACAAATCCCAAGACCCCTTAATAATAAAGTATAAATACTACTAATAAATAAATGATATACAACAATTTAACGTTGAGTTTTGAAAAATGATTTTGTGTATAGGCCCTTTTGAAGGAAGCAAGAATAGAAATAGATGACAAAAATCGAGAGATAGTTCGATTAACCAAAGAGGTTGTTGAGCTTAGATTGTACAAAGCATCATTGAATAGTCCAGATGAAAGAACTGATAGTAGTGATGCCCTAACCGTACGTGAAAACAATCCCTTTTCACCGGAATCACCATGCAAGGATTTATTGGAGGAAGGTTCGTTCGAGAAGGTAACGAGTCCCGAAACTCCGGACAAACGTGCCCAATCGGATGTACCATCCTCTTTAGCGGATTCAGGACATTTTGAAGACGGTTCCGTCCACTCTAAAGATTCTGTGTGCCTGCCGGAAACGGTATTACCCGAACCTTCTGGTAATAATAATCCTCCATCCAATGATGAACCTAAAAACGCCAGTAGAACAGTCTCTGTTGTGGATAGTAGTAGCATTCCTGAAAGAGATGAAGAAAGACGTCGATTGGTTGATCATTATGAAAGCAGAATTGAAGAGATGCACCGAAGACATATCGATGAAATGCAGGAATTGAAACAGAAGCACAATGATAAGGTCATTGAATTAGAAATTATTTATTTATTTTTCTTTCTAATATCTCTTTAGTCGTAAAAATTGATATCTAACGATGATCGAACGGAAAATCCATCCACAATTTAATTAATTGATTTTATTTGTGACGATACACAACAGGTAGAGAGTTTGTTGAATCAATTATCTGAAGTTAATACTCGCTATTGCGAGGTAAGGCCGTCCGTCGATGCTGCGGAAGCTCGAACTCGCGAATTGGAAGTGGAATTGGAGGCTGTGAAAAGTGAACTTGATAAGAATAAAGCTTTAATTAAAGAGCAGGAAGAGAAGGATAAACAATCGTACCTGAAAGTGCATGCGAACGAACAAGAAGCTACTGCACGCACTGACAAAAATGATCAGGTAATTATTAAAGTTTATATTTTTCTTTTTTTTTGTTCTACTTTAATTTTGATTTTATTATATATTTTTAAATGTGTACAAATATTTATCTAGATACCTGAAACCACCACGCAGAAAAAATCATCTTCGAAAGTTAACGCCGCCGATCTGCAACAAGAATTAACAGTTACGAAAGCGGAATTAGAAAAAATTAAGGTAATCTATATTACGTATATATTTGTTTGTTAATTATTATGAAAAGAATGATGTCAATAAGAAATTGTGTATCGATTTTCTATTCGACACGCATTCGAGTTGTTTCAGAATGATATAAAGTAATTATTTGTTTTGTTGATTTGATAAAATTACGCGATGGAAGCAACGAGAATGTTTTAGCAAATAGGATCTTAACTGTTTGAATTTCGTTGTATGAGTTTTCTCAACAAGATTTTTCCAATGAGTTTTGTGATTTAAACGGTTGATTATTATTATCATGATTATAGATGTAAAGTAGACTTCTTCAAATCTCCTCTGAAATACATACACCAATAAACAATTCATTCTATTAATTTAACATATAAAAAGAAATATATTTGATTATAAATTTTGTAATAAACGCATCTCGCATACCTGTTGATTTAATCAAATGTATGAATTTAGAAGGAGAATATAGTAGTTCTCAATCATATTCACTAATTTTAGTTATAGTATCATAATATAAAGAAGCTTTTGTTTTCACGTAATAGAATTTTCACTTGCATTAGAGCTAGTGTCTCTTCGACATCTTTGCATTGTTCGAAAAGCATGCATCTTTTTTCTTTCTCTCTCTCTCTCTTTCGTTCTTCTATCTTTCTTCTCGCTCTCTCCTCTTTCTTCTCAAGAGTATTTTATTATTCATAATTCACTATCTTTTTGTACTAACGATGTGTCACTTTTTTTGGTCGCCGCTCACACTCCAGGATACAAGCTACTCGCCTGAACCTCACATTTCAGCCGATCGTAGCCAAAATTTATTAACCGCTCAGGAGGCTGTTTCTCTCTGGGTCCTTGGCACACGTAAGGTCTGTATTTTTATTCGACTGACAACACCAGAAGAATCCTTCATTCCATTATTCTACGTTGTACGACTGCGTTGTTGCTGCGTCGACTCGCATAAAATATGGCGCACACAGATATCTTCCCCATCGTTATTTTATTTTGCAAGATCGTTCAATAATTATCCATTGCTTGGAAAAAAAAGAAAAAAAAAGAAAAAAAAAAAGAACAATTTCATACCTTTTTCACAAATATATATATGTGTAGTAATTTATAAATATTTTTATATTTATGTTTATATCTCAAATTAGACAATTATTTCAATCCCTTAACGGAATGACTGTGTTCATTGTTTTATCAATAATAATTATATATTCATTTCTATTTGTTTTTTTTTTTTCATAACTTTGTAGCTTCGTTTAATTTGTTAATATTTATAAAATAAAAAGCATGATTGATTGTTATCTCCATGGTTAGAGGCGCATCATTTTTATCGTTGTTAGAAATATTTTAATGTTTTCTTTTTTTTTTTTTTTCATAACATTGACGATCTTAATGCAAATTAGATTTTATTCAAATAATGATGGAACATATATATATATATTAATTTTGTATAAAAGCAAAACAACAAAATAATATTTACAAATATATCCTCTTTCTGGGACGGCTTTTGCTCTTTTAAAAATCTGCATGTTGATTGTCAAGCACAAATGTAGATATATAGTTTTTACCATTTCTTAAATCGGGCCGTACAGTGCACTTGGAAGAAACAGCCTCTTATAATTCATTCGATGTAAGTTTGCACGTGCGCTTGGTGCAATGCACGCTTTCAATATATTTTTCTATATTTGTTTAGAATATATGCCTGCCAATTGTTTATTCATAATCGAATCAAGAAACAACAATATTATATGAAATATTATACTTTTCTTTTTTCCTTTGCATTAAAAAAAATATTTACTGTTTAATAATACACACGCGTGCGCACAGTGTATATAAATATAATAATACATAATAATGATTATAATAATAATAATGTATAATAACGCTGTTATTTTTTATTTTTGTTATTTTTTATATATATATTAGGCAATGTATCGAAGTATCGTGGAAGCAAAATACAAGAAGGACGAATTGGATCTAGTAATCACCTTGCAGTTCCTAAAATCAGCATTTTATTATTTCCTGACTGATAAAGAAAATCATCTTGGACATCTGAACGCCATCGAAAGTATCTTGGGTTTTACTGAAGCTGAGAAAATCAACATTGATAAGATTTACGGATCTGCAAGAAAATATTAATTACTTATATACAAGGTTTATATATAGAAAGTGATGTGTATCTATTGTTGTCAGACATATGGTGTTAACGTGTTCTTCATATTTATATTACTTTTCTTGATATAATAATATTTATAACTTTATATACACGAATATTATAGAGAACTATATACATATATATATATATATAATTCTCTTGAAGTAAATGTTTATAGATAAACATTACTTTCTATTTACATAAAGTTCATACAGAAGAAAGAAAAAGAAAGAAAGAAAAAGAAAAAAATTAAATATGTATATCAACGATATCCTACTTTTTATTTCTAATGAATTTTTGTTGTTTTTACAAATAAAATTGAACACTGTATGTCGTATATTAATCTTTATCGTACTGCTGCCGGTTAGCAGACAATTTTAATAATTTTAATACTAACATCTATTTTAACTTTTGCTATGCGATGAGAAAAAACATTTAGAAATTGTAAATGTATGTACGTATGTTACTAATTTAATTGTCTTTAAATTATATGATAGTTATACATATATATACAAGGTGTCTGAAGTTTTTCCAGCCAAACAGTGTCAATGTATTCCATGTACGAAAATAAGAAAAACTTTTCGGAAACCTTGGAAATATATAAAAATATTGATTTCTATAAATGGATATGTATTTCATAGAAATGTGAATGAAATAAGTTATTTTAAATATTAAAACTTTTCTTTATGTTCTCTATAATTAATAATATATAAATTATTATTTATATCAGTATTTAATTGTTAGTATAATAAACTGAACTCTAAGGCCTATATTTATAACTGTTTAAACAAAAAATAATTATAATAATAATAATAATAATAATAATAATACATTATTTTTCATATTAATTTTTTGAAATACATATCCACGTTGTGTATGCATAGAGAAAAGAAGAAAAAAAAAAAGTAAATTAAAATATGAAAGACAACTACGTATATTATAAAAGCCACAAAATAATACTTCTGTTCGACTGGTAGAATATTTTACATTGTCATAGAGAAAAATTTACTAAAACTATTATATAGAACTATTGAATTAGATTGATAAATATAAATAATTGAAAATTTCTCATTTTTAAAAAAATGTTCATTTACGAATTATACCTTATTGTTTGTTTGTTTCGAGGTTTTTATTTTTGGTGGCACGTTGTAATTCGATGAGAAGAGTAATAAGGAGACTGAGAAGATTGCCTTTTTATCTGCTTATATATATATCTGCTTAAATCTTGCCTTTTAAATCTGCTTATTATAATTATTCTAGTTATTAGAGAAATTCATGGTGAAAGTGTTATTTAAGCTAAATATATTATGAACATTAAGATAATAAGAAAATATAAGCACACTACTTGTAAAACATATTTATTGTACACGTACTTCCTCGATAGAAATTCTTCGCACCAACGACGACTATTATTTTAATGTATTTTTTAACTGCCAATATTTGAATTAAAACAGATACTTCCATCGATTAACAGTATTCCACTGTGATATTGATATATATATATATATATATAAATATATATTTAAATGATTTCTAATATTAGAAGTACATTGTTGGGTGGAAATATTCCTCGATGGAATTATTCATTAAGTATATTGTTTTTCAAAACATACTGCTAATACAAATGTTAGATATCTGCAAAACATCATCGATTTTTATTGAAAACCCAACGTCACATTTGTGATGATAATTAATGAAAAAAACCAAGTTAATCTAGGCTGTGGTTAATATTTATTTTCTGCAGCATGGTAGTAGTAAACATGTTAAAAAAAAAATTATACGAATAAAATATCCTTAAAGATAAAAAGAAAAGGGAAAAAAAAAAGGATTATACTCACCCTGTGCAATAATTTGTATCCAAACCAAAGATATTTCGAGCTGCCTATTAATCTAATAGTCTTACATTTTATAACTTTAGATTTTTCTTTTTAAACACTTAAATTAAAATTATCTTACAAAGATAATTAACGTGAGCTCTTAATGTTAAATCGATATTAGAACTAAAATTATTTCCTATCATTCCAATGTGTTAATTTCATATATTTTATTAAATTAACACATTAAGCGCCCAAACCTAAATGAAAAGTCTAAGGTTTGTCCATAGGAACCGGTGCATGGCGTTTAATGTGTTAACAGAAATTCCATGTTCCTATGGTGCCAATGATTTGAAAATTAAAGAGTAACCTAACATAATACTTTATTCGAAACTACTTTTCTGATTTTATATTCCTTTAAATGAAAGCCTAAGTAATTATATTATTATTATTATTATTATTATTATTATTATGCGCTGCAATTCTATTTATTTCAATATGCACATAACATAAACTAACGTAACTAATTACGAATTTGAAATAATCTTCTTTTTTTTATAGATATTAAATAGTAAATACAAAATGAGAAAGTAATCATATCTACATAAATAAATTAAATATAAATAAATAAAAAAGAATTTTATCTGCGTTCTGTATAATTTATTTACTCGATGTCGTCAATAAACATTGATATTTGTTCAGGAGTCAGATATTAATGTGTCGAACTGAATGTAGAGTATGTAAATAATTCTATAATAAAGATACAATTCAAAGCTATACAAATATCTAATTACAGTGGATAATCAGTTAACTAATAATTTGGGTTGCTAACAATTTGAACAAAAAATATATGCTCAAATAACGATATCTTATAACAAATACAAGAAGCTACACTGTGTGTAAGATCTGTATAATTGTATGATGATTGGTTAATAAATAATTCATGTAAAAAATTTTTTAACTGATCACCCACTGTATATACTATTTCATTGTTAACTCCTTGCACTATGATTTACTTGTAAGATTTGCAACGAGTAGAACCAGTATTTCTCATATTTTGTATTCACAAATTTCATTCATTGTTATAGTGCAAGGAGTTGACTTTCATTTTGGTTAATTAACTGAAAAAAGGAATGTCATAAAGACGATTAAAAACTTTATACCCCGATACGTTAGAATTTTTTAATATTTTTTATAAGACAATCGTAAAATACAATATTTGTACATTACTTTTTCCCAGCAACTATGATACCATCATACTTCTGCTGGAACCATTTCATAGCGTCCTCTTTAGTTAATCTGTGAGGAAAACCAACTTTTCCAGTTTTTCTTCGTCTGTGGGCTACATTAAAACCTATAAATTTGAACGCGCATGTATTAATAAATAAATCTTTCTTATAAACGTGTAAATGAAAAGAAATATAAATGAATAATAAAATGTAGATTCAATTAAGTAACACACCCAGTAGAAGAAGTGGGCATGTGTTGCAAATATAAAACATTTTATTTAGCACATGTTTTTACAACGATAGACATCAACAATAAATAACGAAGATATCTATAATACCAGATAATGTGCAAACTAACAGAAATGATAGATAAATAAATTCAACAATAACTAACCTGGGCGTCCAAGTACAACATAAAAGTCCAGACCATAGATACCAATGCTTGGATCATATTTAATACCTAAATCGATGTGTTCTTGGATACCAAATCCAAAGTTTCCAGTACCAGAGAAGTTTTCTCTTCTCAATTCGTATTCACGTACCTACAAAAATACAATGCGACAATTAATAACAATAGAGAATAATCGCATAGAAATAATACAATGAAAGATGTTTTATAAACTAACTTTTAATCCTCGTTCAAGAATTTCTTCTGCTTTTACTCCTCGAACAGTACAGTGTACAGCAATTTTTTCATTACGACGAATACCAAAGGAACGTACAGTGTACCTTGCTTTGGAGAAAACTGGTTGTTGACCGGTTAGCTGTTCCAATACCTAAATACCATACCAGTATGATATACTCAATGTTCTTTTACTATAATTTAGTTTTTACAAAACTTTTAGTTCTTGTTTATATAATATTTGCATTTTTACAAACAACATACCTTAGCCGCTCTTGTTAGTCTGTCACCGGATTCACCCACACAAATGTTCAAACATAATTTACGGATTCTAACTTCGCGCATAACATTTTTGGATGCATCCTTAGGCTCCTTTTTGGTTTTCTTGATTTTCTCATCCTTCTTTTCTGTGGTTTTCTGCACATCCAGGAATAAAATTGTATTAACACTCATAGAACTAAATCTTTTTAGGTTACCTTGTTCAATGATAATAAAATCAAAGTTATTATTATAATTTGATATATTATTATCGCATAAATAATAATTATTTTTTGTTAATATTATAAAACAAGATATTACATTGAAATAATCATTTTTCAAAGGTTATGGTTTCAATGCACGCTAATCGAAAACAAGCATGTAAAGTCGACTAACTGTTACACGTACATATGATACAAAAATCTTGACTTAATTAATAATGATTATTATTTATTATTAAATAAAAGTGATATTATTGTTGTTACAAATAAAATGAGTAAAAAATTGAAAGGATGTCAAAGATTTATTAAGATATTTTTAATTAATTTCTGTATTACGATTCCGACTTACCGCCATTTTGAAAAGTAAAGGTTACCAAGAGGAACTTTAGTAAAAGATACGCATACAGATTTATGCCGTATAAGAAAGAACGACCGAGATGCGCTCTGATGTACGATATCTGAACTATCTATCTCGATTCTCGAATCGAGTATCGAACTAGACTTCTAGTCTACTATTAAGTAACTATACTTAGAAGTAACTATACTTAGAAGTAACTATTATAATAGTTAGTAAGCCATGTTGGTTTAATAGTTTTCAGCACTAAAGAATATAAAAATACATAGAAACTTTTTTATCTACCCAGTTTCATTTTAGTTACTACCAGGACCACCAGAGGACGATAGTAGGTATTTACTGCAATGATAGTAAAACAAAGAATATTGTATTCTTTGATAGTATATATAGTATAATAACATTGTAACAGAATTTTAAATAATTATATTTAATTTTTAATGTATAAACACATGTGTGTGTGTGTGTGTGATGACTTCAAAGGGTAAAATTGTTCTGTTATATAAGTAAAGTACATTAAAATAATTGTTAATTAATCGATACAAGTGTTAATTAATGTCTAAAAGCTCGGGTAATATGATCTGTGCACCATCCTCTTCGAAATTTATCTTCAAACTGGCACGTTGTTATCTATGAAAGTACTTTTATTAGATATTGTTTATATGACTTTCCGAACGATGCGCATGTGTGTAACGGGAATAATATTTGTAATAAATACGATTTCCTTATTTTGGAGAAAGTCATATAAATAATATTTAATAAAACTACTTTTTTATAGAGGACAATGACTCAGTTCAATGGTGGATTTCGAAGGGGACGGTACATAGATTATATATTCCGAGCTTTTAAACAACAATAAGCATTTCTATTGATTAATTAACAATTATTTTAATATTGTAATACACTCTACTTATATTTCAGATTGTTTATACATATATGTATTGATTGAATTAAAGTTCGTTAAAAAATGCAAAATTTCGATTGATTTTAATTCTCGAATATCCAAACGATACGATCTAAGTTAAAAATAAATACGTATTTTCTTAATTTCTCTGTTTTTTTTTGTTTTTCTAATTATAATAAATAATCGATAATAATCATAAATAAAATTACACAAGAGTTTTGTATTTTAAATTGAATTTTTCTCCCAAACAAATTTTATCCTTCTGAAAATCCAATTTCATCCGTTTGCAAATTAAATTTAATCTTTGGAATTAGTGTTTTCCAAAAATTTTAAACTCATATCCCTTATTTGTAAAAATTATAATGAATTTATTTCGTAAACAAGAAACGATTAGCTGAATTTTGGATAAAAGCTTTAGAGAAAAGAAAAAAAGGAATCTAAAACAATTCTGTAGACAAATTTGATTTGCAAATAGTTGAATTTTAGGTGCAAAAGAAAGTCTGCGCAATTTTATATTATTGAAATAATTTAATAAGAATTATTCTATAATTAAAACTAGAATTTCTCTCAAGTTCATATATATTTATATAAATTTAAGTATTATAATATGAAATTATATCAAAAATAATTCTTAATAATTATTCAAAGGGGGGAGGGAGAAATTGGAAAATAAATGTAAAGCGTGAAGAATTTCATTTTTGTCATTACATATGTAAATGAAATGATCCTATCTATTCGTTGTTAAAACATTTTCATAGTTAATTATAATAATTGAAAATATATAAAAAAAAAACAAAACAAAAAAAAAATCATAATTTATTTGTAATATACACAGGAATTAAAGTAAATAAAAATTGTACAAAAGAAAAAAGAAAAAAAGAAAAAGAAAAAATATCTAATAATATACACGCAACTGTATATACAGTGGAAAATCCCAGAAGTATTCACTGTCAATATAAAACAATCAATATTTTCTTCTAAATACAATATATTCAAATACTTGTATTACATAGAAAAAATATATTTTAGGATTATTCAACTTTTAAATTTTAATATATAAAATGTTGATTGAAAAAGAGTATTTTATTATAAGAGAAATCAAATTGTACATAAATGAAAAGAAAAATTGATCTTACAAAAATATACTTTCTAATCGATTCGATAGTATTTATAAAGATGCGATGTCGAATCAATCAATCAAGTATTATTACTTACAAAAACAAAAAATAATAAATTGTATTATTATTATATTTTATATTGATACAAAAATATTCCACTAGTGAGATCAATTTTTGATTATCATTTAAATAAAATTATATTACTCATTCAGATCAAATTTATATATATATATATCAATATGTAAGTTTAATAATCCTAAATATAAATTTTTATGTTTCGACAAAATTCGAAGTTTTGCATTACCAAGCAACAAATATGAATTATTTACAATTTACAGTAGGAACGAGTACGAATATTCCTGTGACTCACTGTATACACACATATATCTATATATCTATATATAAATATAAAAATAAAGAATTTAGAAAGTAAAAAGAAAAAAAAAACAAACAAAAAAAGGTAATGCATATTGAAAAATAGATAGATTAAAAGTAAGGGAGACTTTTCATGTAAGTTTTTTAATCATAGTTATTATTATCGTTAATATCCATATAATTATCAATAACTACAGTAAAACACAAAACAAAAATGGTGATATCTGTACATTCTCCTTAAGTGATTATAACATAAACCTCCTCCTCCTCCTCCTCCTCCTCCACCTCCTCTTCATCTTCTTCACCTTATTATTTTTTTTTCTTCTTCTTCTTTATTTCTTTTTGTTGTTGTTCTTGTTGTTGTTTTTGTTGTTGTTGTTGTTGTTGTTTCTTTTAATTTTTTTTTTCTTTTTGTATACCAGTAGAGTTTAGAGTGTCTACTATTAATATAGGAAGAAACTAAATCAAAATATTCACAGATAATTTACAAGATAGGTGAGAGGCGTTTTTTATTGGACGCACGCATCGCGAATCCAAATACTCATTTTCTTCACCTTTTCTTTTTTTTCATCTTCTATCTCTCTCATACGTACACATACGCAAGCACAAACCCCAACACACCACCAACATACATATATATCCCCACACACTAATCCAGCAAGGATGATACATACGTTTAACATACACACATATTACATACATACATACACGGCATGGCATACATACGTACACGTTTTTTTTTTAATCGCTATCTTTCTCTTTCTCTCGTTTATTATTATTATTTTTTTTTTTTAATTATAATTATTATTATTATTATTATTATTATTATTATTATTATTATTATTATTTCATATCTCGCGTATATAAAACATTTATAATTTTTTTGTTTTGTTTTGTTTTGTTATCTTGTCTTTTCTTCTTTTTCATTTTCATCATCTTCCTCTTCTTCTTCTTTTTCTTCATCTTCTTCATCATCATAATCATCATTATCATTATCATAATCATCATCATCATCATCATTAATTCCCCCTCCCCATTGTTTGTTATGTTTCTCTGGTTTTTTTTTTTTTTATTCAATCAATTGCGAGGGTTAATGCAATTAAAAATTAAATCTAATTATCTTAAGAAATATGAAGAAGAACGAAGAAAGAATGTAAAACCAAAAAAAAAAAAAGAAAAAATGAAACGAAAAAGTACAAGTGGAAAATTCAATTATAATGTATGTATATATAAACAAGTAAAAGAAAATAAAAAGTAAAAGAAAAGAAAAGAAAAGAAAAATATAAAGTAAAAATCCACGTTTGGTAATAAAAAAAGAAATTAATTATATTATTTATAATATATATATATA